ATTATATTCGGCAACAAAAATAAAAACGTCGCGATTTAAAGTTTTTTCTATTTTATTTTAACTTTAAATGTGGTTATAATTTAAATGTTGCAACGAAAATAAAAAACGTCACAAATTAAATTTTTATTTTTTTTTTAATATTCCCGACAAACTTATAAATTTTCCCGACAAACTTATAAATATTATAGACAAACCTATAAAAAACATTGTTAATTAATATTTTTATTTTATTTTTACTTTAATAACTAAAATTAACATTCTACGTCGCAAAATATTTTCCCTAAAAATATTTTCATAGACCAACGTTACTTTTTTCCCTTTTTCTACGTTATGCCACGTTTATGTATTTCGAATACAATAAGTATAGAAAATCACCAAAACCTGTCCCTTCCAAAATTCTTCCTCCCACAACCTGTCCAATACCTCTGCCAGATTTTCACTTGGGATTGGGTCAATCTGCAAAACAAAAAGTGAAAAATAGAAGAAAAAAAATTCAGGAAAAGCCCCTTATTTTCTCTGCCGACATCTACCAAAATGACACTCAAGACAAAACATTTTTTCAAATCCACAGAGTAATAGTTAAGGAACATGAAATTAGACACCCCAATCCACTAATCCTAATAACTTAACCAAGTCATTGCAAATATTTAATATGTTTAAATTAACATAAAATATGAGACTCACAAGAATCATACAGAGTCCGCACTTTTATGTGGAGATGCAAAAACTCACCTAGTAATTTTCCAATGGGATCTTTACCTCAACAATGTGAGGGTAGGAAACGATTTAGTTCAAGAGTGAGGGCAAGAAACACTCCGATTAGCAGGGGGAGGGGAACAAAGAGAATAGTGAGAATGAGAGAGAGAGAGAGAAAGAGAGACAGTACTGTGTGTGTCGACTGAAATAAGCACAAAGGGAGATATTTCAGAAAGTGAGAAAAAGGGGAAACAAAAAAGATGGGCAATGGATTTCAATTTATGTACGTAGTATTTTATTTTTTTTAATGTCCAAAACGACGTCATTTTGAATTTTTTTAAAAATTATATTATACGACAAACATAATGTCGTACTTTAATATTTTTATTTTATTTTACCTTTAAATGTGGTTGTAATTTATATTCTGCGACGAATATAAAAACGTCGCAATTTAATATTTTTATTTTATTTTATAATTATCTTTTTTTTCGACAAATTTTTTTTTACCAAACTACAAAATTTTTATTTTTCGCCATTGCTCGCGCAAAAAAAGAGATAAAGAATGACAATTTTGCGACGAAAAAAATCCGTGCATTAAATATTTTGACTTTATATTAATTTTAATTTTACCTTATTTATTTTTGCGATGAAGAAAAACTATATGAGCCAAACAAAAATTTTCTTGTAAAACATTATCAATTCCCGCCATTTATCGCGCAAAAAAAAATTATTCAGGAATCACCTTTTTGCAACGTTTTTTAAAAACGTCGCAAAAATATTTGTAACATAACTATTTGCGACACAATTATTAAATCGTCTCGGATAGTACATTTTTTGCGATGAAACAAAAACGTCGCAATTAATATTCTAATTCTAATTTAAAATTACACAATAAATTCTAATTTGCCACCAATATTAGAACGTCAAGAAATCATAATTTTATTTAATATAAAATGTAAATTATATTCTGCGACAAATTTTTAAAAACGTCGCAAAAAAATACCTATTCCCGCCAACATAATAAAAAACGTTGCTATTTAATAGTAATTAAAATATATATTCTGCGACGATAATATTAAACGTCGGGAATTAATTATTTTGACTTTATTTTGATTCTGATTCAATATTATTATTTTTTTGTGACGAATTGAAACTATCCATGACAAAAAAAAAATTATCGCAAAAAATTTTCAACTCCCGCCCTTTTCTCGAGCCAATAAATTTTGGTGGGAATCACCATTTCGCGACGTTTTCTAAAAACGTCGAAAACAATTATAAAATAAACTATTTGCGACAAAAATATGAAATCGTCGCGCAAATTCTAAAAACGTTGCAATTAATATTTTAATTCAAATTTAAAATTAATAATATTTTTATTTAATATCAAATAAAAATTATATTCTGCAACGAATTTATAAAAACATTGGGTTCTGATCTTTTTAACGCAAAAAATATTTTTGGTGGGAATCACCTTTTCGCGACGTTTTCTAAAAAAACGTCACAAAAAATGCCAAATAAACTATTTGCGACAACAGTATAAAATCGTTGCGGAAAAATTAATTTTTTGCGACGAACACAAAATGTCGTGATAAATATTTTAATTCTAATTTATAATTTAAAATTTAAAATTTAAAATTATTAATAATTTTATTTAATATAAAATAAAAATTATATTCTGCGACGACTTTTTGAAAACGTCGCACAAAAACACCTATTCAAGCCCTTTTCACGCGCCAAAAATTTGGTGTGAATCACCTTTTCGCGAAAAATTGCCAAATACACTATTTGCGACAAAAATATGAAATTGTCGCGGAAAATTTAGTTTTTGCAACGCAAAATAAAGACGTCGCAATTAATATTTTAATTCTAATTGAAAATTAAATTCTAACTTCCGATGAATATTAAAACGTCGCGAAATAATAATGTTATTCAATAAAAAAATTATATTTTGCGACACATTTATGAAAACGTCGCGAAAAAATACATATTCATGACAAAATATTTAAAAACGTCGCAAATTAATATTAATTAAAGTTTATATTCGACGACGATATTATTAAACGTCGCGAATTAAATATTTTGAGTTTATTTTTATTGTTAATTTTTAATATTTTTTTAATGACAAAGTAAACTATCCGCCACAAACAAATTTTGTCGCAAAAAATATCAACTCCCGCATTTTTCTTGCGCCAAAAAAATTTGGTAGGAAATACCTTTTTGCGACATTTTTTAAAAAACGTCGCAAAAATTTTTGCCAAAATCAATTTTTGCGAGAAAATTATGAAAGCGTCGCGGAAAGTTCATTTTTGCAACGAAAATATAAATGTCGCAAAAAATTTCGTCGCAAAAAATAATTTTTGTTGTAGTGTAATTCCAATTGTGGTTTAGTGCCCATGATGCAAGACATGAATTTGGCCGATGAGCATTTTGGAGGTTTGTGACAACCTTAAATATTAGATAGGTCAGTTGTCAGGGTCCTGAGAGAAACATTGATACCACTATGGGAGGCTTTGTTATGGTTCCCCTCTATTATATGGAACCTTGTCTTCTATATGTTTTGGTCATACTGACATTCTTGCTTTCGGATAATCGCAGATGACTACGATTTTTTCGTACTTTTGAGGATGCTTAAACTCAATAAAGTGTCGAGAACTTTTGGCAAAAGAAAGAAGGGCAGGTGTTTGGCTACTGAGGAGTTGTTGAGGTTGGCTCATAAGAGGGCAATACCTCTTGACACCAAGATTTTAGGAGACCGAGGCTGCTCATGTGAGAGCAGAGGTAGAATGGGGTCGAACTTGTAAGAGACCAAGGCTACTTGTGTGAAAGTAGAGGTAAAATGAGGCCGAGCTTCTTACAATTTGTGGAAGAGCCGCTAAGCTAGAGACATAGATTACTTGAGAGCAGAAACAAGATTAGGCTGAGCCTCCTGGTGACTCGCAGAAGAGCGTGAAGCTGGAGACATAGACTGCTTGAGAGCAGAGACAAAGTGAGGCCGAGCTTTTGACAACTCTTGTGAGAGCCTCTAACCTAGAGACATAGGCTGTTTACGTGAGAGTAGAAGCAAAACTAGGTTGAACTTTTGGCAACTCTTGTGAGAGGCACTAAGCTGGAGACATAGACTGCTTGAGAGTAGAAGCAGAATTAGGCCGAGCTTTCTAGCGACTAGTAAGAGAACGCGAAGCTGGAGACATAAACCACTTGGGATCAAAGGCAAAATGAGGCCAAGATTTTGGCAACTCTCATGAGAGCTATGAAGCTGAAAACATAGGTTGTCTGCGTGAGAGTAGAGGCAGGAAGAGGCTGAGCTTTTAGCAGCTCTCGTGAGAGCCGCTAAACTAGAGATATAGGCTGTCTGCGTGAGAAAAGAGTTGGGAAGAGGCCGAGCTTTTGACAACTCTCGTGAGAGTTGCTAAATTGGAGATTGAGGTTGTTTGTGTGAGAGCAGAGGCAGAATTAGTCCAAGTTTTTCTAGTGACTCGTGATAGAGGCGCTATGTTGGAGATTGAGACTATTTGTCTAAGAGCAAATGCAGAGTTAGATCAAGTTTTCTAGTGACTCGTGAGAGAAACAATCAGTTGGAGATTGAAGTTGCTTGCATGAGAGTAGAGGTAGAGTTAGGCTGAGATTTGGGCGACTCAGGAGACTCTCTTCCAAGAGACAGAGAGGACAGTGAAGGTAGCCAGAGGGTGCTAGCAGGATAGAGTTGACGGTGCATGGGCATCGAGCACGGTAGTCGAGGTCACTTGATGCGCCAAGAGGGGTGACACCAGACACCAAAGACATTGTTGGATTAGTTAGGCACGTGATATGGTTGATGCGCCAAGGTGGGTGAGGAGGCAGGTGCTAAGGAAAACCTACGCACATGTGCGGGTGCACGGGTGAGAACGTCGGGTGCAAGCACCACTCGTCACGGGCACTGCTGCGCACGGGAGCCAGACATTGGTTCGTACGGGGCACTGGGCGCTAGGAAAAAATGCCTATGACCCATAGTTACTCAATTTTTACTTAGAGAGGATCGCTTAAGGAATCCATGGAAGACTCTCTTGAAGCAGGAAGTGATACCAACGCAATGGACCAGTTGCGCAGGTGGTCTGGGTGACGCTGAGTTGGTGGCACCAGGCTAGGGAGACGAGGGCAAGACAGGTGCCAAGTGAGGCTAAGCAGGCACCATATGAGGCAAAGCAAGCTCCAAGCGAGGCAAAGCAAGCACCTGGGGAGGCAAGGCAGGTCAATCGAGGCAGCTAGATGCCAAGTAAGGTAGGTTGGTCACGCCATACAGATGCAAAGTGGCATCAAGCTGGGCGATGCCTTGCAAACGCAGAGGAGGCACCAAACTACTGCCAGGGGCGCTAGGCACTGAAGGTGCGGATGCCGAAGATGTGGGCGAAACCCTTGGAGCAAGAGCCGATGCCATTAACAAGTTGGGTGACGCTGTAGTAAGCTATGTTAGTGGTCAATTGGGTGACGCCCATGGAGTAGGAGGTGACGCCAGTGGGCCATTTGGCTATGCTAGAGGCTATAATGCTTGTAGGGGCATTGGTCCAAGCACTTTCACTACTAGTGTTGAGGTGCTGGGCGACGCCATGGTGGTTTGGGCGATGCAGGTGCGAACGGCGATGCCAACTGGGTGACGCCAGGTAACCTGGACAACGTGCTGGGTGTTGGAAGCGTGGCCAATGAGGCAAGAGACAAGGCGCAAGGCAGGCGACACCTTCATGCAGCTACCAATGGGTGATGCCATTGCGCGGGGCAGTGCGCGACGCCTTCGGTGGGGGAACAGTTGAGCGGCTCAAGGCGTTGGGTGCAGGCGCTTGGCCAATGCCAAGAACAAGGTCTGGGCGACGCCAGGAGGGACTGGAACTCGCACAGGGTTTGCTACTGGCACTGTTGCTGCTAGGTTGAGTATTAGACAATGATGAAGAAACGGCAAAACTTCGAACAACCATAACTTTGCTCTCGGTCGTCCGTTTGAGAAGAATTTTTTTTTTTTTTGAATCTAGATATTTTTTTGAGATGTACGATAATCAAACTCCTAAAGCCGGTTTGGGCACCAAATTTTCCCAAAAAATGTTTACTTTTAACAGAATTTGAGTTTTAAGTAAAATTTTCTCGTGTCTACTTTTCGTCGGTGGTGGCAGGACCTTGTCATGATGTGGCGTGACATCTTCTGCTTGGCTGTTCATGGATCTGGTTGTGATTTCCATTGAAGATAGGAAGACTGTGGGTGAGAATCAAATCGATTCCTCACAGACGACGCCAAACTGATGATACATAAAATAAGCTTTTGCACAATCAACAGTTGAGTGTATGATTCATAGTAATTGATGAAGCAATCAATAAAATAATTAATGAATAAGACAGAGATTGGGTCAACACAAGTAATACACAAATATATAGTGGTTCGGTCTAGGGGATCTACTCCATTTCCAAAGGCGGCAACGGTGGCCAGAGACTTTTAGAGAAAGAAAGGGCAAAGGTAAGCACTGTGAGAGGTTGGGTAGCAAGGAGAGAGATAGATGTGTAAATGGTGTGTAGAGAGATAGGTTACTAGTCCTTTGGGAAGGATAGTTACAGCTAAGGATAGAAACAATTAAAGATTGTCTCAATCTCCGAGTTGTGATTATCCTGGTAATTACTCCTCAAGTGTGTTGGTCCTCCGGGGTCTCTTAGACTTCTGGATTGAACTGAACCCATGAGTTGAGCTTGACCTGCCTTTTGATAATTTGGGTTCAACTCATAAACTACACTCAGACCTAATCTAAATTTGGGTTCAGACTTGATCTAAATCTGAGCTAATCAGAAACCATGGCACAGAAACAAGTGTGGTCTTTCACCTCAATCTAAATGCTTTTGAATGAAATATTTGATTCTTGGCTATGTGGATCCTTCCAACACTTGTGTCCATGTAGTAAAAATAAAACTCGTCCATCCTAATCAAGTCAAAAAAATAAAAAGCTTGATTTAAGAAGCTTTTGGGCATCTTGGTTATTGCTTTTGGGCAATTAGTTCCACTCATCTTTTTATTTAAGAAGCTTGATTTTATTAAATCTTAGGAGATGTATGGTTTATATAGATAGATGAATTGAATATGATGTGATCCTTTTTATTTTGATCTATACCAGTATTACAGAAAGGGTGTGCAAAAATTGCATATTAACTTTTTTTTTGTCAAAAGAAATGTGTATTAACAATACCATAGTTTTAACGTTTTTTGAAGGTTTAATACTTCATTTTTGAGAAAAATTAGAGAGATGAGAACTGAACAATGTATATGTCAAGGAGTCACTGTGCCATTTTTATAATGTGAGGGGTATTAGTGTTACTTAGTCAAATATCAGAGGATGTAGATGAAATTTATCATTATTTTCTTTTAGCCATCTATCATTAAAGGGTAATGCTAGTTGACTTTAAAAATAAAAATGATAATCACAACTATTAAATATGAAGTGAATTTCAATAAACATTAAACCGGTGTAGCATTGTTTATCATTAAAAAAAGGAGATCATTCTGGTGTGGGGGTTATCCCAAACCGTTTTCATAAAAATTTCAGTAACCCGAACTCAACTCTTACCGACCCACAAGGCTGACCCTCCAACCCAACCCAATCCAACCCGCTTCGCTTCCATTCTCCTTTCTTCTTCCGGGTTGACTACCCAAACACTACCCACCACCACTGCCACGGCCACCGCCACAGTAACCCTAACATTTTGAGTCTCTCCTTTTAATCAGAGGCGATAACAACAGGTGAATTCTATCCACTTCAAATCTTCTCGATTACAGTAGTTCAAAGGGACTTATTCGGATTCTAGAGATGCGGCAGTCAACACTATGCGCGGCAGGGCAAGGATGTATGTTCTAGCTCGTATTTCTCTCTCTTTTCAATGATCTAAAATTGTAATTAAACCATCTCTAATGGAAAGTTAAACCTTTACCTAAATTTGAGTTAAAATAAATAAATAAAAAGATTGATTTGGTATAGACCTCTTTGGTCCTTTCCCTTTTTCAAATTCAAATTTAAATTAGGATAAAAAACTCATAAAATTTTTCTCTAATGCCAGACCTATATTTATACCAAATAAAAGAAAATAAAAGAAATTTTTTTTTAAAACTTAAATCCAAGGAGAATCAAATCCTTACCCTTTTCCCCAATCGTCCATTAAAGATCCAATGATCTATTTATCTTATTTAAAATTTTAGTTTGTTCTCATTTAAAAAAGTGTTTATCTTCTTTTAATTTAAATTTCTTTGTTTGATATGTTTATATTAAATCAATTTTTTTTATTTTTTTTAATTCAAATTTAAATAAAGGTTTAGGTCTCCATGCAGATGGTCTTACACGAATCTAAAGGTCTTTTAACTAAGATTTAAAACTATAACTTATTGGCCAAGCACAAGGGCCTAGCTCAAATTATAAGTTCAGTCCGAGTTTATTGTCCATCTCCAAGAGATCTAGCAAGTCCAGCTCAATGCGGTCAACCCGGACAAGCTCATCAAGAATCAAAGAGCAACATCAGCAAGAAGTATGCAAGGTCATCAAAGAGTCTCCTCTATCACCTTAGAGTAAGGGTCATCCAAGAGCCTCCTCTACGCCACCAATGGAGCATCCATGAGCCTCACCATCACCGCTTGGAGAGAGTCAACATTCCCTCATCATTTAACCAAGTCTTTTGGAGAGCATCATAATTTTCTTACTTGTTAAGGAGAGGAGAGGTCGTCAAGCTATTTAATCAATGTTAAAGTCACCTCAATCCGTTATGACTATTAAACAGCCTCAACCCGTTATATGACTGCTTGATTAGCTATTTAATTAATATCTATTATGAGGCAACAATAAAATTTAAGTCCCGCCAACACTTGGGAGACATGAAACTCATTTGATCATAATTCTCTCATCCCTTCTCAAAGCTTGTAATCTTGTGCTCTCCCTCTACACCGGAGATAATAAAATTCCGACGACACTTGCCATTCAAAGTGAACGTAGGTCATATTGACCAAACTACTATAAACTTTGTCTTCTCTCTCCCTCTACTTTACTGCATTTTATATTCCGTAATTAACATGTAGTGTGCAAATCAATTTTGTGCATCATCAATAACTATATATCGAAAATCAATAAAGCAATTTGTGGTGCTGACCCAAAATTCCTAATCTTTATTTTTGTTGTTTTTTCCCATTGCTAGAATAATTAAGAGTAAATTTCACTGACAGTTCTGGATTTAAATCATATTTCACAGACACCAACCTCTCTAGTTTCCTAAAATATTCTTGCATACCTTTGTCAATTTTTATTGTTAATTGACCTAACATTATACGGAATTTTACTAAATTATTTTTACTAAAACTCTCATTTTACTTAATTACCCTTACTCAAATTAATACAAAATTAATATATATTTTTATCAAATTAACACCAAATAAATATTTAATTTTATCAAATTAACATTAAATGTTTCCAAATTAACATTCTTTGGTAAAATCATAACTTTTCCGACTTCTTACTAATCCCTAATTCTCCAGTATGAAACCACCTCCTTCGCCCGACTTACTTTTTCCCATGCCCATTCCATGTGGCATGGTGATAGTAGCCACCACTACTCTCAAGCAACCGTTGCAGATTTAATACCCTAGCTCCGACTTACAGCCATCAATGTCTACCGTCTAGTACGTATCCTTTTTTTTAAAAGTGAAATTCTAGTAAGGTTCAGTGAAGAAATAAAGAGATCTTTCTATATCGAAAAATCAATTGAAAAAATTATAGGCAAATTCCTGAATCCCCCGATAAGAATGTGGAGAAAAACCAAAACATAATGGTTCTGCCTACTCAAAACTAAGAGGGGATGCCTGATCAAAGCACCAACAAAATTGTTATATTAGCAAGCTGATTGAAAGGAAGATAGGAGGATTTGACCCATGCAACTGATCAACTGGGTAGAGTTCACGATCATTCAAACATATTTGTCTGGAAGAAGAATGGATGACTCGCATTGTACCCATTCATCAAATTAGCATTCAATTCATCAATTAACACTCAATTTTATCAAAATCATATTAAACTTCATCAAATTAACTACCAAATTAATATTCAATTTGATCTAATTAATACCAAATTAACATGAAATCGAACTTAGATTGTATAAAAATATTATTTTATTTCAGCAAACTAATATTCAATCTCATCAAATCAATATTAATTTTATAAAATTAATACCAAATTAATATTTAATTTCATCAATGTAACATCCAATTTATCAAACAAACATAATTCTTTTTGATTAAATTTCAAATTAACATTCAATTTCAACAAATCAATACTGAATGGTTATTCAATTTTATAAAATTAACATTCAATTTTTTGAATTTAATATTTAGTTTTATCAAATTAATATTATTTTTAAAATTTAATATTATTTTTAAAAATTAACACCAAATTAGAGGGGGTGTCAGTGAAATATGACTTAAATTTAAGGGTATTGGTGAAATTTACCCAATAATTAATTACTTGTTTTGTGAACGAGTTTGCTACTTGCATATTTTCCATGTTCCTGGCTAGACCTCTTATTCTTTTCGGATATAACATCAATAAGCAATGGATACTCTGTTTATTGTAGATGTACTCGGACCATATTCGGTATGTGATGTGTGTGGTATCATACCCGTATTCTATATTTATATCTGTCATGACTTAGTTTGAAACACACTAATCTCTTGGCCAATATCTGACGTAGGTGACACGCTAACAACGGCTAGTTTTTTCCTTGTTCTTGCATTTTAATTTCCACAAAGTTTAGTGTCTTTTCCTGGCTTGTACAGTGCCGTGGGTGTGGGGTGGTGGTGGTGGTGGTGTTTGGATTGGGAAACCCGAAAAAGAAGGGGAAGAGGGTCAGATTAGTGGTTGGTTGCCGGACGAAGAGGGTCGCATTTGGGTATTTAAGACTTATCATTAGAAAATCTAATATACCATTGTTCTAATCACGTGAGCTGAATATGGGTCAGTTCTAGTAAAAAAATTGATGGAATTGATACAGGGAGTACATTGAAACCAATTGAGAAGTTGAAGGGCTGACGTGATACGAAATATAATTTGAGGGCCTAATTGAAATTGGTTGTACGGTAAGAGTAATGCTATTTGAACATAAAAATTTGACCTAATTTATTGATATAATGATGTGGCTTTATATGAATTATTAAATCAACATCAAATTTTAATATTTAAAGGGGTTTATGGTCAATCCAAATGTCACAGTAAAAATTAGATCAACAAATTATATCAGATCTCATTAGCATTGCTCTTTAGTTAAAGTACTCTTAATTCTTTTGTTGTCCTTGGCAATTTTTTTGAAGATGAATAATAAGAGTGAAAGTAGTGGGTGACAAGCACCTACAAATGAAAATTGATTTGTATAAAAGTTGAATGCTGCTACTCTCCAAATAAATGCTTAGATTATCTGAATCTAACAAGTATGAAAGGAAAGAAATAAATATCTAAATGCACAATAACTCACATCTCCTTTTTCAAAATAAGGAAATTCACAGAAAAAATAGATACCAAATCCATACATGCACATATAAATTTGCAGATGTATTAGGAGGCTTATTCTTCCCCTAAACATGGCTGGAAGTGTATGGCTTTTCTAGCAGCTAGTCTGTTTTGCAACGTGTTGGCATTCTCCCACCTCCCTTTGGTTCTTTCCGAATCAAATGGTTTTAGGTTAAAATTTATCCATAGAGATTCTCCAGAGTCTCCTTTATTCGAAGATAAGCTTACAAATCTCGAAAGATTTCCAAGGGATAGCGCCATTTCTCACTGTCGAGCTTCCTATTTGTGGTAGATAGGCAACATTAGGTTGAGAATGGAACCTTTCTTCCAAATACCATCCGACCTGCACTCACCCGTCGTGATCCACTTTTTACGGTGGACATAGACCTTGGAACCCCTCCCAGGAAAGGAACCTTGATTTTTGACACAGGTAGTAATCTTACAGGACCCAATGCAAACCTTGCACCAATTGTTCACACAAAAATATCCTATTTTTGACCCCAAAACTTCCAGATCCTACAAAAGACTCCCTCTTAATCACACTCTTTCCAATCAATTCCGATGTACTTCTAGTGGATGTTCCTACAGTGTCACATATGTAAGTGGACAGTCCTCAACAGGTGTTGTCTCCATGGAGACATTTACCTTCCAATCCCACAGTCGAGTTTCTGATCGCATAAGTGAGTTTTTGGTTGCGGGTTTGATAATCATGGCTCTTTGAGCCCTGATACTTCTGTTAGTGGGCTACTAGGAATGAATAGATCTCCCACATCTTTAGGAAGTCAATTAGGCAATAGAATCATACCACGTTTTTCGTATTGCTTGCGACCGTTTGACTCCCTTTTTAAAACTTCATTTTTGAGATTTGGCAATGACATTGCTATAATAGGTGGTCACATCCAAGCAACTCGTCTTCTGCAAGACACTGGCTACAGAATGAATCTATATGATATTAGCATTGCAGGACGAAGATTACGATTTCCACAGGGGACTTTCAGCAAAGGATGCTCAATAGACTCAGGTGCCTCATTCAGTGTCATAGAACAAAGAGCTTACACTATAATTCTAAGGGTTATTTGCACCGGTGGTCCCCCAAACTATTCACATTGTCTCATTTTAGTCCCCAAAATTTCAATTGCATCAAATTGGTCCCCAAAGTATTCACTTTGATTTATTTTGGTCCCAACCACAGACGTCGTTTGCTGTTTGCCGTCTCCGTCTCCGTCTCCGTCTCCATGTACCATTCACGTGAGGGACAAAGTGGACATTGCACCCTACGTCTCCTGCTTAGCCAGTCAAAGGTTGTGATGAATTGCCTCTTCACTTCCATTTCAAGGACAACAAAGGTGAGAACTCTAACTTAGGGCAAAATGTCCAGTGTTCATCACGGCAAAATACAAGAGTGATTAGCTTCGTCCTCATCTTCTTTGAGTGGGAATCATAGTGTCAAGATGGTCCGTTGCATTAGGAAGGAGAAAGGGAGTCAGGCAGGATTATACGATGTTCCCCATTACGGTGTGTGGTGGCTTTTTATAGTTTTGGGTTTCAGTTTCATGGGTACAACTGAATATAAAATGATCTTGATGCTGTCAAACAGATTTTTTTATGCAAAACAAATTTTTTTTTTTTGTGATATTTTATGGTTTATGTGGTTGCTAGAAACCACTTGTTTATGCAATATGAATTTTATAATATGAATTTTATATTTACTTGTTTTTGGAAACCCTTAGGCCATGATTCTTCACTTTTCTCAATGGAGGTTCACCACAGTGGTCAATTTACAGAGAGTCCAAACAAAGATTATGTTGGGGGCAAATTAAATTATATAGATGACTGTGATTGTGAACTGATGTCGCTCATTGAAATGGATGATATAGCTAATACTCTGGGTTATGCCCCATATATTGGATTTTACTACAAACTTCCTGGGTTGGATTTGGACAAAGGGCTAGTACATATGAGCAGTGATGAACATGTATTGGATATGTCACATCATTTGCATAAAAACAGGGTAGCTCAAGTATATTTTAAACATATAGGAGGAATTAAATTATTGATCATCTAGAGGCAAAAACAATCATTCTGTTGATGGTGATCACCCAATTAATGACTATGGCATAGGGGATGGGGTAGCATCAGAATCTGAATGCAGTGAATATGAAGATTTAGTTGATAGTGATTATGAAAGTGAGTATGATGACATGTTGTATGAGACTTGTGTTGATCATGAAGCTGAATGGACTGGATTGAAAAGTAACAGCCAAAAAACAACGGTAACAGACATAAGGCATGGCTTAGACCTAAGTGAATTAGATGGTGATTCTAAGGACATTAAAAGTTGTTGTAGTTCATCTGATGGAGAGACTGATGCAAGAAAAAACCAAAATTTGAAGTGTTTAGGGAAAACAAAGATAATGAAAACCCAGAATTTAAGCTAAGTATGTTATTCGGTACATCTGAGGAGCTCAAGGCTGCTATTAGACAATATGCAATTAAAAATCAGAGAAATATTAAGTTGGTCAAAAATGATAAGAGGAGGGTACGGGCACAATGTCAAGAGGGTTGTAGTTGGCTTGTTTATGCTTCTAGAGTGCATGGTGAGAAAACATATCAAATAAAGACATACATTAGCAAGCACACATGTGGGAAGACTTACACTAATAGAAATGTGAACTCAAAGATGATAGCATTGAAGTATCTGGAGGAGCTGAGAATCAACCCCTGTTGGCCTATCAAAGCTTTTAAAAAGAGGGTTAGGCAAGATTTACATGTTGATGTAACAAGGAATCAATTATACAGAGCAAAGAAAAGGGCAATGCTATTGATACATGGGAATGACATTGAACAGTATGGTAGATTATGGGATTATTCTGAGGAACTAAGGAGGGCTAATCTTGGTTCGACAATTGTTTTGGATGCTCATGCAGATGAGGAAACAGGTAAACTTAGATTTCAGAGGTTATATATTTGTCTTGCAGCATGTAAGAGACGATTTTTGGAAGGGTGCAGGAAAGTAGTTGGACTAGATGGTTGCCACTTGAAAGGAGCCTACAGTGGACAGTTATTGATAGCAGGTGGTATTGATGCCAATGATTCTATGTTTTCTATTGCATACTGTGTTGTTAAGATTGAGATGAAGGAATCATGGGCATGGTTCTTAGCAATACTATCCACTGACTTGGGCATCAATCACCAGAACCAAAATCAATGGACCTTTATCACTGACAAGCAGAAGGTATTGATTTTTTTATGTACTGATTTTTTTTCCTACTGACAAGCAGAAGGTACTGGTTTATGTATTGATTTTTTTCCTCTTATGTGACAGGGTTTGCTTCCAGCACTAAGTGAGAGCCTACCTAAATCAGAACATAGGCATTGTGCTAGGCATCTGCTAAACAATTTCATGAGACAGTTTAAGGGTTTGTGTATTAGGAAGAAATTCTGGAAATGTGCTAGGGCAACACACATTCCAGAATTTGACTTTGGGATGCAACTAGTTAAAGAAGAATATGAAAAGGCTTTTGAGTGGTTGGCCAATGAGCCACCTAGGTACTGGAGTAGGTCACATTTTAGAGTAGAACCAAAGTATGACATTTTGTTAAACAATCTATGTGAGACCTTTAATGTGGCAATTGTGGAAACAAGGGATAAGCCTATCTTGGAAAGGCTAGAATGGATTAGATGTTACTTAATCCAAAGAATGGTAAGGAGGAGGGAATGGGCTAGGAGTTATAGTGGAAATATATGCCCTAAAATTCAGAAGAGGTTGGAGAAATGAAAAAGTGACAGTTTTGGTTGTATTGCTGATTGGTATGTCGAGTTAAAATTTGAGGTGAGGGGTATGAATGGAGATCAATATTGTGTTGATTTGAAAGAGAAGACATGCTCATGCAGGAAATGGGACTTGATAGGAATCTCATGCCTACATGTCATTGCTTTTATTCAGAATAAGGGTTAATTGTCAGAAGATTATGTTATTGGACACTACAAGAAAGGGGCATTTATGCAAGCATATGAACCACTTATCAACCCAATTAATGGACATAAGATGTGACCTAAAAGTGGACTTACCCCAGTTTTGCCTCCTTTGAACAGAAGATAACCTGGTAGGCCAAAAAAACTGCGGAGGAAGGGACCAGATGAGGTGAATAATAAACATCAGCCACATAAATTGAGGAAAAAAAATGAGTTGGTATCACTTAAGTGTAGGAGATGTGGTAAGAATGGGCATAACAGGAGGACACGCACTACTACATTAACAGAAGGATAAGGACTACAAGCTGAAGGAAGCCAATTTGGAGAAAGTGAAGCAGTTGTAGGGAGCCAATCAGTAGCAGCTGCAAGGTGCCAATCAGTAGCAGCAAGCCAAGCAGTACCAGGAGAGAGTCAAGTAGCAACAGCAAGCCAATCACCTGCAGGAAGGTCTTGCTTTTGAACAGCTTCAAGCTTCAACCACTGGAGCAACTTCAAATACTGGAAATGCAACTAAAGCCTTCTTCATTCATAATCGAAGGGAAAAACTGTCATTTAGGAAGTGTAAATCAAAAAGTAGCCATGTTGTATGATGTGCAACTTTTATTTTTTTTGGTACAATGGATATGTGTAACTCTCTTTTTGGGTTGTAATGAGAGTTTAACAGCCATGTTGAATATGATGTGCAACTTATATTTTATGGTACAATGGATATGTGTAACACTCTT